CAGGAAGTTTCTGTTAAATATAAATGGCTGGGGGTGGGGTGGAGAGTGGAGTACGGTGGGCACTCCCTGCCCACCCCCACCAGTGGGTTCCCCCCTTTTCTTTTAAAATCCGTTGTCTGGTCCTTTAGACTCTGCATTTTGCACAGTAAGGGCTTTGGTGGGAAAGCCCAAACCTCCACACTACCCTCCCCCCCACACACACACACACATACTCCCCACTCCCCACCCCCGCGCATTTTTTTGGTTTAGAAATCCTCTTTTGTGTCATCCAGTCCCTGATTGATTCAGCATGGTTGCTAGGGCTGTGTTTTGTGGTGACGCATCAACACTCCACCGTGAAACTGCAAAGTGGGTGTGCCAGCGAAACTGCTGGATGGTTGTCAGGTGCGCTCTGCCGACCAGCCCTGTTGCAACATGTTGTTGTTTGTCTGTTTGTTTGTTTGTGGGAATTCATATGAGGTATTTCTGGAGCTGACTCTTAATTCATTCCAGTAGAACTTGCTTTTACTATTTGAAGTGTTAACTCTTTTTTTTGTTGTTGGTTTGTTTCCACTTGTTTGCAAACTGTGTTACTTTTCTTTTTGGGGAGAAGTGAAAGCCGTTTCCTTGTAACTGTTTTTGGTTCTAAGTCTGTGTTTGAAGTGAAACAGTAATGTACAAAACAATCTGTAAAACTTTTTACAGACCTTTAAATCACCTTTAAGCTAGACCTCAAGCTAACTGTAAATCATTTGGTTTTCGACCGTGTTTCCTGAATGTCTAGCTTTTCACTCCAATAAGAGCTACTTCAGTTAGGCAATTAAGAGGCCTCCTTTACTGATGTTTTAAAGGCAGAGGAGACCGCTCTGTTCCCTGCCTTAGGGTGGAGTTGAGTGAGTCTGTTCTTACCGCAGTGGCGAATTATTCCAAACCAGTTTGAAGCGGGTGTGGCTCTTCAGCAAGTCTATTTTCTTAAAGGAAAAACTTTCCCTGATAAAGGTCCGTGTTAATGATCTTACCTGGTAGCCCATCCCTTCTCTGGGAATGGAAGGTACAGGTATGTAGAGATTCTCATCGACAGATTGAATGTGCTGATTTTTTTTTTTTCCACTTTTGCAAGTTGAAACCAGTTGGGGAGGCAGGTGTGGTGGCATGTGGGGAGGAGAGCTGCGGCCTGCCCTGCAGAGCCGTGTGCAGAGAGTACGGTGGGTTCTGCTTGCAGTGCGCCCCTGAATTTCACTGTGCTAGGGAGGTGGAGGGAAGTTAATCGCCTCGAGGCCCATAGGCTTGATTTTTATTCTCATTTAGAACAACAGGTGCACTAAGGCAGAGCTATTGTTTTCAGTAAGAAAGTTCAGCCTTGCCAAAACAGGTTTGGCTCAGTGGCTAGAGCTTCGACCTGCGGACTGAAAGGTCCCAGGTTCGATTCCAGTCAAGGGCATGTACATTGGTTGCAGGCACATCCAAGAGGCAGCTGATTGATGATTCTCTCTCATCAATGTTTCTAACTCTCTATCCCTCTTCCTTCCTCTCTGTAATAAATAAATAAAATATATATTAAAAAAGAAAAAGAAAAGGAAGGTCAGCCTCCAGAGCAAATGCTGTAAACAGAGACCATGCCTATTGGGAATGAATCACGTTGGCTTTCTGGCCCTCCAGTATTCCCAAGCTTCCATGGGCACCATTCAGAAATGTGTATTCAGGGCCCCACGGGGCCCCACAATAGCCATGGCTGGGTGGAAGCCTGTCCTCTTGTTCTCTGGACACCCAGGGGGAGTCTCCGTCCACCTGCCAGGCTTTCCCACCGTTCTCCAGCTCAAATCTTCCAGGAGCTCCCCCTTGAGGCTCTCGGGTGACCTCGCTCCTATTGTTTCTGTCATTCTCTTGGTGTCTTCCTCCCTTAGCACGGAAAACAGCTGTGGTGAAGTTGAAAGGGCAAAGACCTAAGAGTCAGAGAGCTTGGGCTGGGCCCTTTCTCCTGCTCAGTGGTGAGGAGACCTGGGCTAAGCACTCAGGTGTCTCCCTGGGGCGAGGAGGGAAGAGAGCGGATGGCCCTGCAGGGTGGGGTCTGCCTTAAGGCCATGAGGGCCAGTGTGTACTCGTTAGGAGTTTGTTCATAGATTATGTGAATGTCACCAGTGTTTGTAACCCACAGTAACACTGCCAAGACTTTCTTTTTCCGCTTTCAAAAGTAGCAGCACCCTGACACGGTCTCATTAATCACCTATACTATATTAAGCTAATGTCTTAACAAACATGAGTGGGAAAGCCAGCTCTTTGAGACCAATCAGTCATCCACGGAATGACTTGGCTTTGCCAGGGGGAATTGGATGCAATCAAGAAACAGGGGCCATAGTTTATTTCTACGGTGAAGATAAAGTCTGCCATTAAGCTTGCAGGAAATAGGAAGTAGTTACATGGATACGAAAGACATGCATGGAGTAATAGCCAGTTTCATAGATATTATTTTGTGGTTATTGACATATTTGCTTTTTCTGCAGAATGATTTTCTGCAGAAATAATTACATAATTATGCAAGACAGCAGCTCATTGTTTCAGAATGTGTTAGCACCGAGCATGTGCACAGACACCCTTAAATCTGTGGGGAAACTGAGACTCCACGGGAGATGAGGTACAGCTTATTGCCTGCTGCATTGAATTGGAGATCAGCACTTGCCGTTTGAATACTTGGTATGTGGCAGGAACTCAGGACACTGTGGTCAGTGGATGAATCTAGCGGCACCAGTAAGTGCTCCTGGCACTGACAGGAGGGAGAGGGCACTGTGGGATGGGGCTGCAGATGCCCCGTTAGAGCAGATGCCAAAGCAGGGCGGCCTGAGGAGTGGGCAGGCGCTCTAATCTAACTGGAGCAGCTGAGGGTAAGGAGGTGGGGGAGCAGGCCTGGAGGCGCTGTGGGTTACTGAGCGCTGTGTGTCTGCTGAGAAGCAAGTCCACTTTTGCTGGGGAGTAGACAGAGGCGGGATTCCCAGGCCAATCTTTTTTTTTTTCCCCCTTAAGTTTTTAATGAACGTTGTATATAATATTTTATCCCTGCATCTTCTCAATTGTGTTTTCCTTGCATTTGCCACTTTCCTTTCCTACTTGGGAGATCTGGCTTTCCGTCCAAGGATCTTTTTGTGGTCTTTGTCCCGCTTTAGTGCAGTGATGGCCACCTCGCTGGGGCGAACGCCCCATGCCCAGCGGTACCATTAGCTTCCTCCCCTGCACTCCTTCAGTGTAGATGACGTATTTCTTCCTGTAAACCAGCGCTATTTTGCCAATTTGCTGCCCTTTGTAATGTCCTCGGACAACCTGAGAGTCGTCATTTTTTCGATGGGCCTGCATTGTACTTCTCAGCTCTTGAGAAAGAGGAGAAGCGGTCATCTTTCCACGGGCACTGCTGCGGTGGCCCCCACAGGGACCCCTGTGAATCGTGGAGGGCTGAACTGAGCTGAGTGAGAGGCAGCCACTGACGGGTGGATTTTGAACACCATCAACTAGAGGAACAGAATGGGGAGTGGCACGTAGGGCTGATGGGATGAAAGGGCAGCACTGCTTGTGCACCGTAAAACAGGAAGGAAGTTTGTGGGGCTTTTAAACATCCCTGTTTTCTATCTCTCCTCAGCGTTGACCTATGAACCAGGAGGTCATGGTTCGATTCTGGGTCAGGGCACGTGCCTGGGTTTTGGGTTTGATCCCCAGAGTGGGGCCTGTAGGAAGCTGCTGATCGATGATTCTCTCTCATCATTGGTGTTTTTACCTCTTCCTCCCTCTCCCATCCTCTCTGGAATCAATTAAAAAAAAAAAAAATATATATATATATATATATATATATATATATATATATATATATTTTTTTTTTTTTTTTAAAGAAAACCTTGCAGAAATGTACCCATAACCACAAATAATGGAGAATCCCCTTCTCTTACGTTCCCTCGCCTCCACTCCACACGGAGCCTGGAATTGGCTTACTTCAAAGCCTTCTGATAAGTTAGCAAGTGTCTATGTCAATACTCCCTCAAGCCGGTTTTATGAAAATATTTAGACTAAGCAAACTGTCGGAAGAGAATAGAAAGCTGAATTTGCATGGACACAATTTCCTTGGTCCAAGAATATTAAGAAGAAGAAGAAAAAAAACACACCAGAGCAGGAGATACTGCAATTCAAATGTCATTCCCACTGTTTCGGATGCCGCTCTGCTCTATTTCCTTCATTTGGGGGATGCTGCTACCTTGGCTCCGTTGAGATAAATTTAATGCCCGCCGAGCACTTTTTATTGGCAGGGTTGGTGTATCGATTCCGAGAACTGTGTGATTGCAGAGCTGGGAAGCCAATCCATCAGATGCTAGTGGCACAGCGCCATTAACTGTATTAACTGGAAGATGACTTCATTTCAGCCATTTTGAATGTTAAATACAAGGATCAGTCTCTTTATGGAATGAGATAATGTCAGAAAAATCTACCCTCTGTCTTTCTCATTAACAGTTCGATATCTTCCAAGCGCCGGTAAGCTAAGAAAGTCATTAGGGGAGTAGTAAAGGCTTCCCTTAGGAGAGGGTCAGCCTAAACATGCCACTGATGTCAGTTCACACCCAAAGTTTTTAGGTTCCTTTGCATAGGTCAGATTACTGGTGAGAAATAGCAGAAGTGGTGGCCGGTTTGACAAGCTTGTCACTTTATGTGAGAAGTGGGAGACTCGGTGTTAACCTGTTGGGACAAGTTGCATGAGCCTAGGAGGGCATTTTGGTTTCATGTTCACAAATCTGTCTCCCCAGGGTCTGTTCACACAGGGTAAGGGAAGCCTGGCCAGCTCGGCAGCCCCTCGTAAACCTCAGCAAACCTTCGTAAGCTCTCATTTTTCCCAATCATGAGGTGGAAATTGCATGTATTGGTTAAAATTACTCTCATGTCCTCAGATGAAATGGTCCGAGAAGTGGAGATTAGTATAATGAATACTGTGCTCCGGGGAAAGGAAAGCCTCTTCCTAAAGACTTTTTTCTTTTTTCCCAGCTTCTTTCAAAATGTCTACTGTTCATGAAATCCTGTGCAAGCTCAGCTTGGAGGGTGATGTAAGTATATCTCTTTCACTTGGTGTCATTTTTGCAAATTGTACGTCTCTCTGGATGGTACTATTCCCTTTCCTTATACAGCTCAGAAAATGGGACAAAATTCAGACAATCACTCCCCCCCTTGGTTCTCTGTTCTCCCCCAATCCATTGGTTGCTTCCCAGTGAGGGAGGCGACCAATTGATGTGTCTCTCTCATGTCAATGTCTCTCTCTCTCTCCCTCTCTCCCTCTCTCTCTCATCAATGTTTCTCTCTCTCTCTCTCTCTCTCTCTCTCTCTCTCTCTCTCTCTCTCTCTTTCTAAGCCTTCCTTCCACTCTTTCTAAAAATCACTGTAAAGAATATCCTCGGGTGAGGATTAACAACAACAAAAAAGATCCTAACGGTTTGGGACTTGTTAGTGTCCAGGAAGTTTTTCCACACAAGAACTTATACCTTTAAAAAAATTATTTTAGTACCCGGGAAAGCTTTTCTCCTAAAAAGCTAGGATGTTTGTTCTTTTTTTTTTTTTTTTAAATGAATTAATGAAAGCACTGTGACTCATCATGTTTCCTTTTTTTTGCTTTGGCTATCCGGGAACACAGAATTATTTTTCATTGTCTTTCCCAGGAAATATGTGAATCTATAATTCTGGTGCATTTGCTTCTGTGTTTTATAGTTAAAATTTGTTCCACTCCATGTGAGATTATATCATTGCAAACACTTTTAGGGTCAAGTTAGAATATGAATTATGAAAATGTAACGTATCTAAGAACATCAGACATCTTTTAGGTCATCTTGCCTGAAACGCCTTTTACAAAAACTCAGCACTGGTCTGCCGGCATATCTTGGAGAATTTTCATGACATGCTCTCAATCAAATTAAAACACCCAGAAGCGCTTGATGTGAGTCAACTGCAGCTCGGAGCATCTGGGCACAGAACCCTCTATTGTCCATGGTGCTGCCCATCAAAATGTCCAGATGGATAGTGTCCGTGGAAGCACAGGTGTTACCCTGTGGAGAGCCTATATGTACTTCTAACCTTCCCTTTTGCAACTGGTGCCCACTGCTGTTGGCAACAGTACAAGCTGCACGCTGAGGTCCAGGAGCTGAGAGATTTCTGTCTTTAATGGACCCGATTGTTAGATCATCTTCAGAAGCAGGCTTCCTGGCAGGGCTTTTCGAGCAGCCTCTGAGGCCACTGCACCAGAGTGATGCGTTTCTCCGTCTGGGGAGATGGGTCTGCAATAGAAAACGCTGTGTTTCTCCAGCGTTTTGAGGAAGGATCACTTTTGCCTCAATAATTTGCTTTTCAGATGAGTGGATTTTACAGGTCACAGGTTCAGTTATCCACTTAATTTTGCTTCTGTGGATACTATACAGTTATGCCAAACTTTGCCCTTCTCGTGTTTGGGAGTAGGACGGCAGAGCACTTCGTAAAAGAAGCCACTCATGATGGGGCTCAGTGACCAGACCATCTGCCTTTGTAAGTCATGGATGACCCTGACGTTCCACAGGAAGATGTTTTCCTGTAGATTTCCACCCACGTTTTGCAGCCACCATGGGAGATGGCTTTTCAAAAGAGCACTTTGTTCTTACCTTGCCCTGAGTGTGTGCTCAGTTTTTATTGTGTCCATCTTACTGGAAAGTTCAAGGCGTGAAATGGGGTGGAAAACACCTGGATAGTTCGTTGTGTTCCAGAGTTATACATGTGAACTGGACTGACTTGGCCAGGAGAGTTGCAAGTGCACTGTGAGAGGTTTTGTCCAATTCTGAACTTAGATTTCTGGCTTGTCCTGGGACACATATTCAAGAGGATGGGCCGTTAGTTGCTTACCTATGTAAACTCCCCGCTAACACACCAAGTGGTGGGAGAGGGAGTGGGTGCCCATAACGTAATGTCTGTGGGTGGAGAGGTCAGTCAGGGCGCCTTAGTCTCTGCCTCTTTCCAGGAACCGAGCCAACACAAAGTGCATTATTATGATGGTTTTTATGTGCTGAGGGAGCCGGGGGTGGTTCAGGATGGGGAACCCTGGCATTGGAAGTGGGATAGTTGTGGGTGGTTGGACAGGCCATCAGCCAACCAAAACCATATTGTCTGTCCTCTTGTCTGTCCTTTGTGCTGGGGGAGGGAGCAGGGAGCAGGAGAGCTGCAGGAGCATCAAGGGGAGGGGGCTGACCCTGGGGGAAAGAGCAGGTTGTTGCCCTCACCTAAGTCTCAGGTGAGTGGGGTTGGTCCATCCCATCAGGAAGGGCAATGGGCTTTGAAAAATATGGCGACCATGCACTCTTCCTTTGAACTGTTTTGCAAAGCCCATTATCCCACGTAGCTCAGTGATTGAGTGTCATTGATCTATGAACCAGGAGGTCACGTTCAATTCCCGGTCAGGGCACATGCCCAGGTTTTGGGCTCGATCCCCAGTAGGGGGTTATGCAGGAAGCAGCTGATCAATGATCCTTTTTCATCATTGATGTTTCTCTCTCTCTCTCTCTCTCTCTCTCTCTCTCTCTCTCTCTCTCTCTCTCTCTCTCTTCCTTTCTTTTCCTCTCTCCCTGAAATCAATAAAAATAAAATTTGAAAGAAGATCACTGTTTAAATAAAAAAGGCAATAAGAAAAAAAAATACTAGTTGAGTGGTAAGCAGGGTGAGATGGTTATAATACCACAGAGGGAGGGGACAGAGAGGAAAGAGAAGAGCAGGAGGAACTTGGCCCACAGGAAGGAAAATGTAGTTACGTGGCCTGACCACCTTGGTGTCATAGCGGTGGCCCAATCGAGGGAGCTTCCTCACTTTAAGAGGCAAGCAGGCCAGCGTTTTACATTTACTTTGAAATGAATCATGAGCTCAGTCCACAGGCCCAGGTGGAGATTCATGAGCTTGTAACAAAAACTTGGCAGAACACACTTGCATTTCAGGCATTTTCACATTCTCAGTTTGTTTTGAATTGTTGCCAGCCAATGTGGATGCTCTTTCAGGCCTTCCCAAATCCACAGGTGGTTTCGAATGCCCAGCTTTGTGTTGCCTGCTTTTGAGCGTAAACATAGAGACAGCACATTCTAAACGCGCAGGGCCTTTGAGGAAGAATTCTCACTAGAAACAGTGCGGTTCCTTATCTTATATTTGGTGGCTTGTTCAAACTTCACTGGTTCCCTAGTCTAAGAATGATTGGACTTGTTAAAAGAAACAATAGGTAAAATAAACCGATTGTAGAAACCGTTGTTTCAACAAAGGGATCTTCAATGTGCATGATGTGATTGTATGTTTGTCTTTTGCCCTTAGCACTCCACACCCGTAAGTGCATACGGGTCTGTCAAGGCCTACCCCAACTTCGATGCTGACCGGGATGCTTTGAACATCGAAACGGCCATCAAGACCAAAGGTAGGCGGTGCATTTTCCCACCTCTTGCCAGGCTCTGGCAGAGGCATTTGTGGTTGTCTCTTCATTCTGCCTGGAATCTGCATACATGGGCATTTGAAATTGTTTTAAAGGAGCTCATTCAACCCTACCTTACTCCATACCTGCTTGTTTTTATCCCTCCTTCCTTTTCCACCTCTTCCCTCCTCAATTTGGAGAGAATATTTAAAACATGAGAACGTATTTTAACCAAACAGCATAGTAATGTGGCAGTAGGCCCAGGACCGGTTCCCCAGGTGTGTGCTCTGGGCTCAGCTCCTCTCTCTGAGGTGTAGTGCCTCTCTGGTCAAGAGAGAAGTCGGTCATGTGATCCCTGAGGGCCTTTCTTTTTGTCCTGATTCCCCTTGAATTCCATTACGTTTGTTGAAAAAAAACACTGGGGAAATCTTACTGCCTTGCTCTTAGATTGATCTAACGAGAGAAAAATTCACACTTTTTTCTTTTTGTGACTCTACAAGTTACGCCACTCCTTAGGCCTGGAGCTGGAATGGGAAGAATTGTTGGAATGAGTATGTTTCCTCGAGTTCCAGGATGAGTAAGAGGACCAGGAGGCTAAAAGCCTTGCTATCTAACTCCCGCAGACAAAGCCCTGGACTGGGTAGAACTGAACAAGAGCGTGTTCCAAGTCATCATCACGCTGTTCTCTGTGTCCATGAAAATAAATGTTCCCATTTTTGGGCTCATGTTAATGAAGCCTGGGTCTTTGGGGTTTCCCCATCCCGGGAATCCCGGGAACCATGGTGATCATTGTGGTGATGCTGTGATTTCACCACTCGTTTCCCCTTCTGGACTTCCTCTTTGCTGTGGGGAACCTTTTATGTGCTGTGGTTCTAAAACAGGGGTGGGGAACATCCAGCCTAAGGCTTGTATAAGGCTTGCGACATCATCGGGTCTGGCCCTTCCAACACCTTCATTAAATGTTTGACCCCTGGTAGCAGGCTAATGGTTATGTTGATAATTTTGGATGGCCCAAGAAGGATGTCATAAATATTCAAATTGGCAGATGAGAGGTTCCCCACCCCTGTTCACAGGACCTGGGGCTTTGTTTCATCTGCCTCAGAGCAGCCTGGCATGCGTTCCAGGGGGACGCCCGGGCACTTCCCAGAAGGGCTGCCTGGATCATGGAAGGGAGAACAAGGAAGCGTCCAGATTTGACCTTTAAAAAGTCTTCTTTTTTTGGTGTTTGTAAATGACCGTACTTGTCAAAGGCCAGGTTGGGAAGTCAGGAAGTCACTAATCAGAAAATAAAATCTGCAGGGCTTATCTCATTCCAGCCAGTATTCCTCTGTGGAGCGTAGTGGATGAGTGTATGCGATCATGGGTTCAGATCTCAGCTCTGCCATTAACTCACTAGCTATGTGACTGGAATATTACTTAACTTTCTTAAGTCTCAGGTGTTTTTTTTTTTTACTAGTAAGTAGGACTCATCAAAGCTTTCACATATTATGAAGTACCACTTAGCATCTTTGCTTAGTGCCAGGCATTTTCACATTGCTCAAAATAGTTTCCCTTAAAACACACACCCTCTCATACACACACACACACTCCACTTTCCTAAGACTCGGCCTGTCTTGTTAGCATTTGGGTGTGTCTGCATTCCTGGGGCTTCCCATCATGCCATCGTGGGAACACACTTGAGGTTCCACAGTTAAATTCATCTGACGAAGATGGTGCCTTTCACCAGCTGGAGACAAAGAAGGCTTTTATCCCTGCATGGGAAAGCTTTTAGCACACTGGAATGTAAAGATTGCGCAAAGGAGCTCTGGTAACGGCTGAAACTCCCATGGCAATAAAAATACCTTCAGGCCCTTTCTGACTCCGTAGAAAAAGCCTGTAGTTTCTAAGCAGAAACGTCTGCAAGGCTGAGCTTTGGATTCCTGCCTTCTCATTTGGTCACAAGCTGCTGACATCACCATCCTCCGGGTTACAGCTCTTTATTGAATTTATTGATGCTCCTTATGGGCAGGCAATGCACCAAGCACATTCGGAATGCTCATGTTAGGTGGACTTCAGATTCACCTTCTGACACAGTGCGCCATCCTCCCACTCCGTGGGGAACATTGAGGATTAACATGCTCTAGGTCTCTTGGCCTTGGTTCAAACGGGTTTGAACAGAGTTCTGGCCAGCCCCAGGCTGTGTGTCTGAGCATCCTGATGGGACACCAACCTGCCAGGACTGGACTCTTTTCCTTCCTGAGGGAACGTCAGCCACAGAACAAGGGATTCTGTTGTCATCAGACTCCTGCCATGTTTGTGGTCCTGCTTTAGGTTCCTCTCTTGTTCTCTTTGAGACTTGTAGCCCAATGAGATCTTTTAGGAGCTAATCATTGGTGCCTAATGATTTTACAGAGTAATTAGATTTTTCTTGAGTTGTCAGTTGGTCCTTTAAAATAACTTCTGGATTGTCAGTGTGTTTAAAATCTTAAATCCTTCTAAGAAACTATTGAGAAGGAAGACTATGATATGCATACAGAGCTCAGTGTACCTACCAACAATGTGAAAAACCCAGATAGCTTCTAGCTGGGAGGTGCCTTAGGAAATGGTGGTAACTCATGCTACATGACACAGAATGTCTGTAGAATGTTAGAGACTGGAAAATAAAGTTTCTGAGCAATTTTTTTTTATGTAGTTCACATGCTATACAACTCGCCAATGTGAAATGTACAATTCACTATTTTTTCATGTATTCATCAATTTGAACAGCCAGCATCATAATTTTTCAACACTCATTTTAATATATTTTCACCATAACTGAGACAGTTGCATTTTAAAAAGGACAAAAAAGAGTATGTACAGTATGATTACACCACAACTTTTTTATGTCAAAAAGGAAAAAAGGCATTATTAACTGACATATAGAATTATGGGTAATTGGTCCTTTTCCTTCCTTGCACTTTCAATATATTCTGTATTTCTAAAATTGTCTATAATGACATATTTACCATCATAATGGTAGGCAATACATTTAATTACGAGCAAAAATGAAATCATTATTCAGGAGGGTAAAATCGCTTTTGTTCCTTTTACTTCCCTTTGATATCTATATATATAAAAGCCTAAGTGACCATTACAACTGGTTGACCAAACAACTGGTCATCCAGTGGCTATGATATGCACTGACCACCAAGGGCAGATGCTCAATGCAGGAACTGTTCCCTATTGCTCAGTGTGCTCCCACAGCCAACTTCCTGTGGTCCCTCCCCATGCCCAGCTGGCCCCCATTACCCTTGTTTGCTGGCCAGGCCAAGGGACCCCTCCTCGGCACAAATTTGTGCACCAGGCCTCTAGTTTTTAGATAACTAACACCACTTAACGAATGAGCTAATTAAGATCTTAACCCTCTCTTTTAGAATGCCTCTCCCTTCAGTTAAGAAGCTGTGCCATACCTTGTCCCTACTCCCTCCTCAAACCCTTAACGTGAGGACACCATACTAATTGGTGTTTCCTTGACATGAAACAAAAGGTAAACCTCAAACGCTGATACAAACAAAAGCCAAAGGACCGTAAAAAGGAAAGATGACTATGAGGACCTTCTCTCCTAGAAAGGGTGCCCTAAGTGTGTGTGCACACACGTGCACCAAGTGCAGAGCATGCTGGGAAGAGCCTGCACCATTGGACACAAAGTCTACTTCCTTGTTGTGTGAGCAATCACCTGTGGCGGAGGGTTAATCAGTTGCTGTTAAACACAAGGACTGCAAACCCTGCGCAGGCCAGAGTGGAGAGGATTACGAGGAGGAGTCGGCCTGGCTGAGATCTGTGGGCTGGCACGGCCCGGACTTGTCAGAAGGTCCCAAAGCGGCTCTTACCCATCTCTTCCCCTCCACCTTTACCATCTCCCACCTGGCCTAGTGTGGCACCTGCCCTTTTCATGGGCCTCCTTGCCTCACCCATTCTTCATCTCCAGGCTGCTCGGTGCCCCAAACATAGCCTCTGCTCTGGTAGGAGTGAGCCACCCCCTTTTAGAGCAGTGATTGTCAACCTTGCTCATCTCGGGGCACACATAAAGTGATTATTAAAGTTCTGTAGCATGCCACAAATATATTTTTGCCAGTATGATTTTTTTTTAAAAAGTATAGTTTTGATTCACACTGGATGGCTAGTGCCATTTTCTTATTTTATCATCTAAGGGGAAAGAGGTCAGTGCCCCCGACTAAATAGTCAGGTTGTGCATGTTTTGAAAATTCTTGCGGCACACCAGCGTGCCTCGGCACACTGGATAAAACCACTGCTCTAGAGGGAGCATTAGCCCACTCCTGCCATCCAGGTGGCTCCCCCCACCCCTCCACCCCAGCTGATACACAGCCTCTCCTCCCAGCTGTCTTTGAGGAGGAGGCAGAATCCATCACTTCTTGGTCTGTCTCATAATATTTCCTATGCTCCTACATAGCTCTTGCCACATTGTGTTCTAATTACTTACATTTGGATTTATTCTCCCACCAGAATGTCAGCTCCTTGAGGGCAAGGTCTTTATTTCATTAGTTGTATTTAATCTTATTTACCCAGCCCTCGGGACTGTGTGAGAAGGTATACATTTCACCCGAATAGTCTAGTGTACACAGACACAGAGCACACAGTGAGGTGGGCACTCGGCTGGCAGATAAGGTAGCAAAGAACAGTTTCAGAATCTGGAGAGTACCCGGGGAGGGGACCAGTCCCCTAGTGAGCTTTGATCTGTTTTCACAATGAATTTAGCTCACTCTCCTAAACCTGCTTTGTTTCTAGTTTGATGGTATCTCGGTAGTTCTTGGGTATGTTACCTACACAATTACTTGGTGGTGGTATGCTCTGACTCGAGGTAGACTGCGCAAATACTTACCTTAATTTAATGTCTAGTTAGAAACTGAATAAAGCCGTGCATAAGTAGTAATATTGCTTAATTAACAAGAGGTTGCGGAGACTTAAATCTATAGGAGTCTCTTGGTCTAGATTGGCCTTGGGTTAAATATATACCGTGGCGTGTACAA